GCCAAGCCTGAGCAACAGACATAAAAGCCACGAGAGCACAAACGATATCACATGGAAGCCCCATGAAAATGGAGGGCGGAAAAGCGTCACTTAAAGCGAAACGAGACATGTCTTGAGCAGTCACTCCCATAGTAAGTTCGGGAGCGCGGCCTGACGAATCCCACTAAAACAAACAACTCATACAGCTCGCAGCACCGCCTCAAGCCTCAAGCGCGGCAACACAAACGTGACTCATCGGGGCTGACGCCTGAACAGCAAGCGCTCGTCTTTCAAAGACGTTCCCCGTGGCAAAAAAGAGCATGACTGGACAACTGCTTGCAGTACCGCCGCAAGCGCGGCAACAAAAACGTGCCTCATCGGGGCTCACGCCCTAATAGCAGGCGCCCCGCATCTTTCAAGGACGCTCCACGTGGCAAGGAGTATGACCGGACAGCTGCTTGCAGCACCGCCTGAAGCGCGGCAACAGAAACGTGCCTCAGCGGGGCTCACGCCCTAATTGCAGGCGCCCATGGCGCGCTTGTCTTTCAAGGGCGTTCCCCATGGCAAAAACGAATCTGCCCAGATAAGAACGAGAAGCGTCACTGTTGCTCGATGGGCTCGCGAGGAAGGCCTGTCGTGGTGTGCGTGCGTTTCAGCTCGCATGTGAGTGGTGCACGTGCGTGTGCGAATGTGTGTGAGCCTTATGCGTGATGAGTGAATGCGTGCGCGCTTGGTCAAGACTGCCCCAAAGTCGTCCAAAAGCCCCCTAGATGGACCAGAAGGCGCCCAAGAGGCCCTCGGCATGCCTCAGCTAGTCTCTGAAGAGACCCTCCTGGAGGGCCTGAATCAAGACCGCCCAGTGACGGGCACAGCTTAGACGGAAAGGTTCCCAACAGCTCCAGGTGATGGGGGACTTTGGTTTAGGCGAATCTGTCACCCAGATTGATGCCGCAGTCAATGCGGACGTCTCCACCACCGCACGCACCAGCCCCCGAAATCCACATCATCCCCTGGCCCCCGATCCTCTGGGGTGCAAAAACGCGTCGAACACGCTACGCCTCTAATTGATCCTCAACCTGCTGCCTTCTCGTCCTTGCGTCGCCTGTTCGCTTCCGATGGGCTCCTGATGTATGAGAAGAAATGATGTTGACGCTGGAAAAGTCGGCTACACGCAAGAGTGACCCTGGGTAAGAGTGACCTTTGGTGCGCGGCTTTTGGGGGGCCGCGGGGGGACCAAGCTCAGGCGCGCAAGACGCTACTATCGCATCGCAACCGGTGATCGGGGGACCCCATTGCGCCCGCACCAAAGGTCACTCCGGCGAAAGGTCACTCTCACGTGCAGTCGAGAAAAAGGGGGGGCGTTCAAGCCGGCCCTCACCCTGAATGGCAGGGGGGGGTCGCACCGAGCCCCCCGCCCCTCGAGGGCAGGGAGGTTCGAATCACCCCCCCTCGCCAGTGGCAAACGACAACGGCGGGCGCTGGCGCCAGCGACGACGACGACGACGACGACAAGTACGAAAATAGGACCGCGCCCTAGCAGGATTGTCGAGCCGTACTAGAGTTCCATCCAATCTAGATCGAACCCTGGTAATATTCTTCTGGACATGAATAGAATTCCACCACGACTCTACCACAGATGGATAGATTCCGAATACAATTCGACTGAAGTTGCAGCGAGCCGTCGTTGTATTGCGCTAGCAGTGGATCGAGCTCCAGTAGGATTAGTTGAGAGATGGATCATGCCCTAGCGGAATTGCGTTATAGCTGGATCGAACCCTACCAAGATTCTACTCAAGCTGGACCGTCCTAGCAGGGTTCGAATAGAACTGGAACGAACCTTCGTAGGTCTGTCAGGTATGGATCCAAGCCGATTTGGATTCGATTAGAACTGGGCCATGCCCTCGAAGGGCCCAATAAGCCCTGGACTGAACCTGAAGGGTTCTTATAAAACTAAATCGGGCCCGACCTGGTTACCGTTAAAGCTGGATTCTGCCATACTAAGATCCGAATACAGTTGGAACCAGCCTCAATCGCAACCTGTTGGAGCTGGGGTCGAGCCCTCATAGTATTTTTAAAAGGCTGAACCGAACCCCATGAGGATTCTATCAAGGCTGGACCCGGCCCTGATAGGATGCTATTCGAGCGGGGCAAACGCCTAAGAGGATCCGACTATGACTGTGTCGAGCCCAAATAAGACACCATCAAAGCTGGATCGGGCCCGGTCTGAAGTCTACTCGAGATGGATCGAACCATCTCAGAATCTTACCCGAGCTGGATCGAGCCTGAATAGGATGCTAGTAGTGCTGGATCCACCCCTACTAGAATTATGGCAGGAGCTCGGTCGAGCCCGAGTAGGATTCTTTTGGAGGTGGATCGAGCCTCCGTAGGAATCTACGAGAGCTGGATCGAAACGAATAAGATTGTACTAGAGCAGGATCGAGCCCTCGTAAGGTATCTATGAGAACAGGACGGTGGACCGAGCCCAAATAGGCGCTTCTTAGAGCTAGATCCAACCCGAACAGGATTCAACCAAAGCTGGCCCGAGCAGGATTTGAACTTTTCGAGCCTCTCGACCCTACGAGGATCTACGAGACAAGCCTTGAAATCCCACCAGCCCTCTGGGCGTCGGTGGTTTAGAGCGTTTCCTCTTCCACCCCTCCTTCTTCCCCTTCGGGGAGGGGTTTACCCCTCCCCCTCCCCCCTCCCCACTGATTGGGCGCCCGAATTATCCGGGGTAGCTCGGGTCCGGGGTAACTCGGGCTTGTATTCCCGAAAAAGGAACCCGAGTTAGCCCTGACCCGAGCTACCCCTGATGATTCGGGTCTCTGGACGCCCGAGCTATCCGGGATAACTCGGGTCCGGGGTAACTCGGGTTTGGATTCCCGAAAAACGAACCGGAGTTATCCCTGACCCGAGTTACCCCTGATGATTCGGGGCTCTGAACTGACCTGGACAGGGGGTTCCGCGGCGCGCTGGAGCGCCCAAGATCGACCCCTGGGAAGGCTAAAACTCGACACCCCTCACGAGGATCGTGGCTCCTGGGGGGGGGACTCTAATTAAGGAACCCCTCTTCTTTGATCGATTTCCTCCACGATGGCCGCAAGAGGCCCCCAGGACGCCCCAAGAGGCCGCAGGATGGCCCCAAGATGACCCCAAGAGGCCCCCCAAGAGGCCCCCAGGAGGCCCCCAAGAGACCCCCAAGAGGCCCCAAGAGACCCCCCAGAGGCACCCAAGGTGCTCCCAGAGGCCCCAAGATGGCCCCAAGAGGCCCCAAGAGGCCCCCAGGAGGCCCCAAAGAGGATCCCGAACGGCCCACAGAGGCCCCCCCGAGGCACCCAAGACGCCGAAAAGCCCCTCAGGACGACCCTATACTCGCCTGGGCGTCGTTTCTGGACGGGCTGGTGGGGATACGCGAAGCGTCTAGAATTGGATCTGACCTGGACAGAACCCCAGCAAGACCGTATGAAAGTTTGGCCGATCCCTTGCAGGTTTCTACGCGGGCTGAATCGAGCCCTGGCAGGATCCTGCTAGAGGCTGGACCAAGCCTCATTGGATTATACCAGAGCTGGCTCGAGCCTGTGCAGGGTTCCAATAGAGCTGGACCGAGCCCTGGTAGGATCCTACGCAAGCTGGATCGAACGATTCCTAACGGGACTACGATGATGACAGTCTGCCACCGTGCCCTGACGCACGGTTTGGAACATCCCCAGGTAAAGGGTGAAAAGAGGTAGGCGTGCTGGTGGCCTTGCCTCTGCCGGCGCGCCAGTGGCGCGCAGGTCCCTTCGGGCTCTCCGTAGTGGGATCTGCCAACATATGATTGGAAGCGCTACCGGGAGATCCCCGCGTGACTCTTCGAGAGGCCAGGAGCGCGCTGCTCGGGGGAATGCATGTCCGACATGGTTTCGGATGGCCACGGGGACGATCGTAGGACCATGTTGGACGTCTGTCGGGCTGTCTTGGAGGCCCTGGGGGACGGCCAAAGAAGCCAAAATCCTCAAACCCACCTCCTGTTGTTGCATGGTGCTCGCATCACCGCCTTCTCGGCCTTCAGACTGACCAGAGCGTCCAAGACGGCCCAGGAGGCGGCCAGGATCGCCCAAAAGCGGCCCTCCAGGAGGACCCAAGAGGCCCCCAAGACGGCCTCAGTAGGGGCCCAAGATAGGGAACGTGAACTGACATCTGGAGCCAACCGCCCGAAAACGGCCCCAAGGCCCCCTCCCCACACCCCCACACCCCCCCACCCCCACGCACACACCCAGAAGCCGCCGAAGCGCCCATCTGAAGGACCAAAAGAGGCCCCCAGGAAGCCCCGAAAGGCCCAAATCAGGCCCCAATAGGCCCCCAAGACGCCCCAAGACACCCCCGCAACCGCCCCACATGGGATATCTGAGAGGCCCTCCAGGAGATCCTCACAAGCACCCAATATGCATCTGACCTAGAACCCAAGCGCGGTGGAGGGATGGTCGAGGGTGATGATGATGATGATGATGATGATGATGATGATGATGATGATGATGATGATGATGCTGATGCTGATGCTGATGCTGATGCTGATGCTGATGACGATGATGATGCTGATGACGATGATGATGCTGATGTTGCTGATTATGATGCTGCTGATGCGATGCTGATGCTGATGCTGGTGATGGTGATGGTGATGGTGATGGTGATGGTGATGGTGATGGTGATGGTGATGGTGATGGTGATGGTGATGGTGATGGTGATGGTGATGGCGATGGTGATGGTGATGGTGATGGTGATGATGATTGTTGTGGTGGTGGTGATGATGATGCTGGTGATGATGAGGGTGATGATGATAATTGAGGGTGATGAGAACGACGACGATGACGATGATGGTGACGATGGTGACGATGGCGATGACGATGGCGAAGGCGATGACGACGACGGTGACGACGGTGATGATGATGATGATGATGATGATGATGATGATGATAGCGATAACGATAACGATAACGATGATGATAAGGTTTATGATTATGATGAGAGTGATGCCGATGACGATGAAGACAATGATGATCGGGACCTTCGTCGGCCACGCCAGGCGAGCCCGCCGAGCCGCGGCCGAGCGGGACCTGAATGCCACACGCGCAACCCCGCGCGGCTCAAAACAGCTGCCGGCCTGAGCCCACTGCCAACGCCGAAGCGACCCCGGCCAGCGCGGGCGAGGGGGGAACCACCATGGCACCAACCCCTCGGCAAGCACGATCCCTCGCACCAACGCACCGGCGCAGAAGCCGAGGCACGCCATCAGTCGAACATGCAGCCTGCCGGAGGGAAAACGCTGCAGCGGCGCGCGCAGGACGCAGCGCAGGCAGCCCCCTGTGCCAGCAATCGGCCCGCTCTGCGGCTCATGGGGGGCAGGGTTACGCTCCTGTCTCCGCCGCTGCCAATGAAGCTCTTTGCTGGGGGGCAATAATGGTACTAATAATAGCACTAACTGTTAATAAGAATGATTATATTTAATAAACAAATAATTAAATGAACAAATAATATATATGTATATATATGTGATACCGGAGAAAAAACAATATGATGTTTGTTAGGGATATGGGGCTATGGGGCTATAGGGCTATGGGACTATAGGGCTATGGGGCTGTAGGGCTATGGGGCTGTAGGGCTATAAGGATACGGGGCTATAGGGCTATAGGGCTGTAGGGCTTTAGGGCTATGGAGCTATTGTGCTATAGGGCTATAGGGCTATAGAGCTGTAGGGCTGTAGGGCTATAGGGCTATAGGGCTATAGGGCTATAGGGCTATAGGGCTGTAGGGCTATATGGGGTATAGGGCTATTAGGGCTATAGGGCTGTAGGGCTATAGGGCTATAAAGCTGTAGAGCTATAAGGATATAGGGCTATGAGGCTATAGGGCTACGGGGCACCCGGGCACCCAGGCGCGCCGCCGAAATCGGCGGCACACCTCACCTAACCATATGAATCCGCTAGGACCTCTACAGAGGCAAACTCTGATTGGGGAATATATATATATATATATATATACAAGTCAATGAAAAGAACAGTCGCAACACGAATCACAATATAAAGTGCATAAGATAAAATACAATAACACAAATGGCAATATCAATGAACATAAGAAGAATAATAAGGGCATGGTAAAAAAATTAAAACAAACAACAGCCACAATACTAGGAATAGCAATCGCAATAACGATGACCATGAAAAGGAGGCGAGCACGGATGACATTGAAGATCACATGATAAGAATACGAATGCTGAAAAGATTACGAATATAAAAACTAATACTTGCAACAGTAACAATAATCAGAATTACACGTATGACTAAAATACGAGTTGTATCGATGATGAGAACACGGATAGTAGCAATAACACTAACAACATAGTCGTAGTAATTGTGCAATTCATGAGGGAAAACTAATGCACCATGGCAATACGAATGAAAGCAATACTAGAGGTGATGATGATACTGGTGATGGTGGTACGAACAGCAAAAATACGAATAAATATGGAACGGCGATAGGATGATGCTGATGATGATGATGATGATGGTGATGGTAATGGTAATAGTGATGATGGTGATGATGATTAGGATGATGGTGATGCTGATGAGGATGATGATGGTGAAAATGAAATCGTGATGATTTTGATTGTGATGATGACGATGACGATGACGATGACGATGACGATGACGATAGTGATGATGATGAGGATGATGATGATGATGCCCATGGTGATGATGATGATGACGATTGTGATGATGATGATGATGATGATGATGATGATGATGATGATGATGATGATGATGATGATGATGATGATGGTTTGCCGGCGCTGGCGAGCGGGGGGGGGCGCCAGGTGTGATGCCGCCGCCGCCGCTGACGTTGTCGCAGTCGCCGGCGTCGTCGTAGGCGTCGTCGTCGTAGGCGTTCTTTGCCAGCAGCGAGGGGCGGGGTGTTCGACACCCCCCCCCTGGAAGGGGGGTGCGGAGGGTTACGGGGGAGCGGTCCGGGGGGGGGGTCCCCCCGGTTTTCTGGGCGCGCTCAGCGTTCTGAGGTGGGGAGGGGAAGGCCGGTTCCGACGTGTCGCGGGACGTTTCCCAAACAAGCGTCCACGAAACGCGTTCTCTGTGATGTCTCAAGAAAGCTCTAAGATCGGTCAAGAATCCCAAGAGGGGCCCAGAACCGCTCAAAACGGCCACGAAAGCCTCCAAGAGCGCTCCAACAACGTTGCAAAAGCGCCCTAGAAACGAACCCTTGGGCTCCAAGCGGGGTACTCAAATCCATCCAGCCCTCTGGGCGCATGTGGTTTAGCAATTTAGTTTTCCAACCTACTTCTTCTCCTTCAGGGAGAAGCTTATCTCTCCCCCTACCCCCTCTCCCTGGATGTGGGGGCGCGGGGGAAGGGGGCGGCGCGACGCGTTAGAGCACCCATGAGGCCCAAGATGGCTCCGAAATGGCCCCAGATAACCCAAGATAGCTTCCAAGATGATACAAGATAGCCCAAGATGGTTCAGGATAACTTCCAAAATGCCCCCAAGAGGCTTCAAGACCACCTCCAGGACGGCCTCAACGACGCCCCCGAGAAGCAAAAAAATAATCCTAACTCCAAAAGAAACTCCCTTGTGTTTGTCTTGTCGCCTTTTCGCTTCCGACTGGCTTCGGAGGCCTGAGGATGGCTCAAAGGTCGCACGCGCCCAAGAGACGGCCACAAGTGCGCCATGACGGCCCCAGGCGCGCCCAAGGACAGCTCCAAGACGGCCTCACGTGCGTCCAAGAGCGCCACAAGAGCGCCCCAAGAGCGCCCCAAGAGGCCTCCAAGAGGCATCCAAGAGGCCTCCAAGGCAAAGGTACTTATGGTTGACTCCTGCCCATTCTCAGGCTGATCCCGGTGTCTGGTCTGTTCCACTGTGTTGCGTGCTCCCACGAATCCCTGATCGATGCAACTCGCTTGAGCATCGTTGCTGGATGGGCTGGTGGGGATACGCGAGGCTTCAAGAATGCAGGACCCACTCTTATCGGATCGGCGGTCTCCAGGATAGCTCCAAAAGGGCTCCCACGGATCTCAGCTGGGACCCCGAAGTCCCAAAAAGGTTTCCAAGGCTCTCAAACCTGTCCCAAGAGACATCCAAAATGACTCCAAAAGGCCCCAAAGAAAATCCCAGCCGTTTCCAAGTTCCGCATTCTTCGCCATTCTGTTTCGGTGAGCTGCTGGGAATACAAGAAGCGTACATAGGTGGATTCGCCCGTCCTCCTGCAGGGGATCGGCGGAACGGCGCAGGCCTCTGGAGCAGCTGCAGGGACGTATGCGGAGGGAACTCCACCTCTGGGGCGCTACGCAGGCGGGCCTCTGGACCACCACCTGCATGCACGGCGCAGCTGGCTCTACATATGCCACACCTGGCCTCCATCCCCCTCGCCCTCCTCCTCCTCCTTCTCATCATCATCATCATCATCCTCCTCTTCCTTCCCCTCCTGTTTCCTGGAGTTGTTCCTCCAACTCCCCACTGCTCCTCCATATTCTTCCTTTAGATAACTCCTCTCGATCGCCCCGCGAAGCGTTTCGGCGGACCAGGCTTACCGCTCAAGAGCTCCTCGCCATGTATAGTCATGAACTTTGTTGTTTGCAACAGCTACAAGAATGGAGCACATGTCGCTCACAACACGGAGCTCCGGCGTTGGCGGCGCACACATTCGTCCAACAGCCGACCATAGCCAAGAATATTACCCAGCGTGGACCCCAAACAGTGTGTCTACCAACATGTATATAAAAAATAAATAGCAACATACACGTGGTGCAATCTATGTGGTGCAACTCACCCTGCCGAACTTAAAGTTGTTAAACTCCACTGCTCGCGCAATCATCCCATCCACCCACCCGCAATTTGGTTTGCGAAGAACATGCGGCGGCGATTGCGATGACTGCTCGGCGCTGGCTGGCGCATCGCCACGGCCGTGCTAGCGCGCATACTCGCGCGCACAACGGCCAGCTAGTTTGGCGCGACCTCCGCGGCCGCGGTGGCGCTGACCGCTGGGCACTTCCCAGCGGGCACTTCAGTGCGAGTCGACGAGTTGGGTGGGCGCGGTATCATGGCAACGTCGACAACGGTAGACGCGATGATGATAGTGGCGATGCTGGCGACGATAATGACAACGACGACGGCACGGCCAGTGACGCCGACGATGCTGATCACGCCGACGACGATGACGGCGTCCTCGCGTCGGTGATGAAGGTTTTGGAAGGGGTTCGAATGTGCGCGCGGCCGACGCGTGAGAGTGGCCCGCATGGCGTGTTTTGACACGGATCGTGCCCCCCCCCCCAGCACGCGCGCAAGGGCGTTCGAATGACCTCGACCTGCTGCGCGAGAGACCCACTTGACAGAATGTATCGACAAAGTTGAAAAAGCGAGAGTATTATCAAGAACTCGCAAGACCGCGAGGGCCGGCTTTTTCGAAAAACGGTGTTGCAAAACCATGCTTTCACATCCCGCCGTGCCTGTCAGTGACCCCCCTCCCTGTGTGGATGTATGTATGCATGTATGTATGCATGCATGTATGTATGTATGTATATATGTATGTATGTGTATGTGTATATGTGTGTATGTATGGGTATATGTGTGTATGTATGTGTATGTGTATGTGTATGTGTATGTGTATGTGTATGTGTATGTGTATGTGTATGTGTATGCGTATGCGTATGCGTATGCGTATGCGTATGCGTATGCGTATGCGTATGTGTATGTGTATGTGTATGTGTATGTGTATGTGTATGTGTATGTGTATGTGTATGTGTATGTGTATGTGTATGTGTATGTGCATGTGTATGTGTATGTGTGTGTATGTGTATGTGTATGTGTATGTGCATGTGTATGTGCATGTGTATGTGTATGTGTATGTGTATGTGTATGTGTATGTGTACGTGTACGTGTATGTGTATGTGTATGTGTATGTGTATGTGTATGTGTATGTGTATGTGTATGTGTATGTGTATGTGTATGTGTATGTGTATGTGTATGTGTATGTGTATGTGTATGTGTATGTGTATGTGTATGTATGTGCACGTATAGCATACTCACTCAGACCCACTCACAGCATACTCATTCACAGCAGACCCACTCACAGCATACTCAGTCACATCAGACCACTCCAAAAAAAGGCCCCCAAAAAATGCACGTATTCGTGTGTTGTTGTTGGTGTGGGTGGTAGGCGCGTCTCCCGTGATGGTGTTTACCGAATGCGATACATGAGTAGAGCGATGGCGTGAACGCCGCGCACCCCCTGTGAAGAGTCCCATTCAATGCTCCTGGAGAAAATACGGCGTGGGCTAAGCTGCATCAGAGGAGGTGGTGCTGGTAGAAGATGGGAGATAAAGGGGTATAGAGCATTGGGTACTGAGGATGTGGAGGTGGGGCTAGAAAATGAGCTTGAAACTACCGCAAAACAGCACAAATCCACACACCCAACATAACCTGACAACACATCCACAAGAAGTGCAAAACCATACACGGGCAACACGCACAGAACACACTTCACAAGATCACAGACCACAACACAGCACCCACGTCACATCACAGCACGACCACATCACAGTACCCACATCACATCACAGAACAGACACACATCACGAACCTACAGGACCACCCACACAGCACACTCACATCACAGTTCACATACCCACCAAGAGGGGGGGTCACTGGGAGGCACGTAGGGTTTTATATATAACATATATATATATATATGTGTGTGTGTTCGAGACATCCGACTTGGAGATCCTTCCGAGACCTCCGGTTTTTGACGGGCTCTGGCATGTGCGCACGACGACGCGCGCTCGCACTTCGTCATATCTGTTGTACGGGGTTCTTGCGACAGCACACGCGCAAGGGCGTTCTTGCGATTCCGACATGCGCGCGCGAGAGGTCGGTGTGGTAGCATGTTATGAACATGTTGGAAAACCTGTGTTTCTCTTAAGAAGTCGCAAGAGCCCGAGCGCAAGCTGTCCTTGAAAATCCGTCTTGGGCAACCGAATGTTTTCATATGTGTTCGGGACACTCGATTTTGAAATCCTGACGAAACCTAGGGTGTTTGAAGGATTTCGGCATGCGCGCGCGACGACGCGCGCGTGTGCACTTCGTCCCATCTGTTGCAAGGCATTATTGCTGATGATTTGTGATGAACGAGTGCGCGCACAAAGTCTTTGTTGCAGAGGATGAGTGGGAATTACCCGTTTAGCTGGGACAATATGAAATCATATTTAGGATGGAGATTGGGGCAGAAGCAGACGTACATTGCAATACGAAAAAAAAACCTGGCAGGTCCGGGGGAGGGGGATGGATCCGACTACTCTTGTAGACAGGAGAATATGTGATACCTGATCAGTTGTGCCACATATGTGAAGCAATATATATATATATCGTCCTTTTATGTGGTGCAATATATGCTGGCCACTCTCTGTAGTGCAATATATGTGGCGCAACCTATGTGGTGCAACCTATGATGTGCAATATATGTTGTGCCGCCTATGTTGTGCAGTCTACTTTGTGCAACCTATGTGGTGCAATCTATGCGAAGCAGCACATGCAGTGCATTCTGTGTGATGCACAGTATGTTGCGCAATATATGTGGAGCCATCTATGTGGTGCATTCCCTGTTGTGCGATGTATGTTGTGCAATGTATGGTGTGCTGTGTTTGTTGCGGCGACGAGGCGGCGACGGGGCGACGATGGAGGCAAAAAGGCGGCGGCCCCGACAACGAGCCCAGACGACGGGCGGCGACGAGGCGGCGACGGGGCGGCGACGGCGTCAACAAAGCGGCGGATGCAACAAACAATCTGAGACGACGGGCGGCGACGAGGCGGCGACGGTGCGGCGATGGAGGCAACACGGCGGCGGACCCGACAAACGAGCCCAGACGACGGGCGGCGACGAGGTGGCGACGGGGATGCGACGGCGGCAACAAGGCGGCGGCCCCACGGGCCCACATGACGGGCGGCGACGAGGCGACGACGGAGCGGCGACGGTGCGGCGACGACGGCAACAAGGCGGCGGACCCAACAAACGAGCCCAGACGACAGGCTGCAACGCGGCAACAGGGCGGCGACGGCGGCAACAAGGCGGCGGACCCGACAAACGAGTATTTCCCTCAGAAACGAGTATGAGCCCCTTAGTGCGAGCACTCGCTGGGGAAGATGGAGCACATGTCGCTTACAACATGGAGCTATCGCATTGGGGTCACGCACGTTCGTTTCATAAAAGTTGGCACATGTTACAAAGATGGAGCAGAAACACCTTACAACATGGAGCTTTCGCGTTAGTACCGCGCATTTTCGTCGCACAATTAGTAACAATCAAGAAGATGGAGCATAAGTCGTTTTCGTAATAGAGGCCTTGTATTAGCGCAGCGCGCACTCGTCTTTAAAATTGGCACCCGATACAATGATGAAGCATCGATCGTTATCAAAATTCCACTCTCGCCTAAGCGCCGCGACCGTTCTTCGCAAAGTGCACAACAGCTACCATTGGGGATAGGTCCTCCTGAATACGATCAACCGAATTAGCGCCGCCACCGGTCGTCGTAAAAGTTAGCAAGATGTACAGGGACGCAGCACGGTCCCTGTTTGAAAGTAAGGCTCCCTGCTGAGACGTCCTTAAACTTGAAAGCCAGGAACTTGAACCCATACAAGCTGCACAAACGGAGAGCGATTCCTGTTCAAAAAAGGGGGGGCTATCGCTTGAGACTCCCTCGAAGCCCATGACCATGAGTGTAAACGTGCGCAACAGATACACAGATGGCTGGCGGGCACTTCTCAAAACAGGGAGGCTCATGGACAATTTGCTGAACTGTATGATCATATATTTTCGCATTCCTGGTTACGCGCTAGATAGATGCAATGCTTCTCCATTGCAATATGAGGCTGTCGCCTGCATTGCCGACCCGTAGTGTGCAGGTTGTTCAAGGATGTGCTTCTCGCAGTAGAAAGGCAAGCCTGTAGGGGCGTGCGAGGGGATCTAAGACGGGAGGGTGGTTTGCAGCATCGCTGGTGCATCTTGAATTTACTCGTGTCATCTTTCTTCTCCTCCACCCGTTCTTACCATTCTCCCCCTCCTCCTCCTCCTCCTCCTCCTCCTCCTCCTCTTCCTCCTCTTCCTCCTCCTCCTCCTCCTCATCATCCTCATCCTCATCCTCCTCCTCCTCCTCCGCCTCCTCCTCCCTCCCCCTCTCTCCATCCATCCTTCCTTCCCCCCCTCCCTCCCTCCCTCCCTCCTCCTCATCATTCTCTCTTCCCGCCTCCTTCCTATCTTCTCCTTCCTCCCTCCCACCCTCCTCCTCCTCCTCCTCGTCCTCCTCCTCCTCCTCGTCCTCCTCCTCCTCCTCCTCCTCATCCTCATCCTCATCCTTCTCCTCCTCCTCCGCCTCCTCCTCCCTCCCTCCCTCCATCCATCCTTCCCTCCCTCCCTCCCCCTCGCCCTCATTCTCCCTCCCCCTCCCTCTTCCCGCCTCCTCCTCCTCCTCCTCCTCCTCCTCCTCCTCCTCCTCCTCCTCCTCCTCCTCCTCCTCCCCCTCCTCCTCCTCCTCCTCCTCCCCTCCTCCTCCTCCTCCTCCTCCTCCTCCTCCTCCTCCTCCTCCTCCTCCTCCCCACCCTCCCCCCCTCCTTCGTGGCGCACTAGTGCAGCTGCCGCTCCCCGCCGGCAGGGCACGGCCTCCCCCGGCGGCCTCAGGCACTCGCCACCCTCCGGAGCGCCTCGATCCACTGGGCCCGGAGCCCCTCGGTCGCCGTGGCGAACTCGGTCGGTACTTACCAGCCTCGAACGTATCCCTATCACTAAGGTTGGCACGCCAAAAGGCGGTGACGATCTTAGGGATTCGCCCTCAAAAAGTAAGGGCATCCCTAGGATTGGCATCGTGATGAGGAGATGCCCAGCATAGGGATGGGGATATGTTCCAGGCTGGTAAGGTATGATCTCCACACCGTCCTGGGGCGGCAGCCTCACGTGGAAGCCCCACCTGTGGCACGAGCCCGTGAGGTCCACCGCCTCGACGGAGGCTCGGGCCAGGTCGCTGCGGGTGTAGTACACCAGTTCCCTGTCTTCTCTCTCGCTGAAGTACACCAGGCTGCTGTTCCGCGACACCCACATTTCTCGCTCGTACCAGTTCCGCTCCTCGGCCTTGTCGGAGTCGGCCCTGAGCTTCCACACCCTCGACTTGAACACCGCCTCGTGGTCGCCGCCGTCCTTCTCGTCCACCTTGCACCGCCGGTTGTTGACGCCCAGGCGGAATTTCTGCAGCTGCACAGCCATGCTTTGGCCCAGCTTCATCGTCGTCACCGTCATGTGGCCAGCTGACTCGAAGGCCCGCATCCAGGCCGTGTAGTCCTCCGGGGACTCACACCCGAAGAGGAGGTCCACGTGCTCATTTGCGCCCTGGTCCACCGCGAACTTAATCTCGATAGCAGGGTCGAAGGCACCCCCCTTGAAGAGCGACACTTCGGCGGTGGCCATATCGTGGCCATCGACCAGAATCAGCTGCTTGTCTTCCTTGAGGCTGTGGTAGCATAGGCTCCCGTTGCCCGCCAGCCATATGTCCCGCCTGAGCCACTGATCCTTCCTGCTCGGATCCCCGCCGTGGTTCAATTTCCACAGGATGCCCTTGTGCCGGGCACTCTGGTCGTGCACCTCCTTGCGGTCGTGCCTCCTCTGCGCTACGGCCGCTTCCACGCCCAGGGAGAACGCGAGGGGCCCGGTCTTGCTCCTAGACAGGTGGGTGTGCCTCAGAAAGGGGTGGTCCAGGCTCTCGGCCAGCGTCTTGCGCTTCGCGGGGTCGACGACCAAAAGGAAGTCGGACAGCAAGGAAAGGAGCTCCGAGTCCAGCTTCTCGATGGCCTTGGGCATGGGCACCTTCCTGACGCAGCTCAGCCAATCCATGATAGGGGGCCACATGCGAACCCGACCCCTGCCCCCCAAGATTTCTGAGGGAGGGTGGGGTTCACTTCGTTCGGGAGTTCCCGAGAGAAGTGAACCCCACCCTCCCCTCCGAAATCGTGGGGGGCAGGGGTAGGGTTCGCATGTGGCCCCCTAAATGAACAAGAAACTCGCCTCCGCGTGTGATCGACCGTGCCGCAAGAAGCTGGTGTACGTCATCTTCAGGACGGGGTCGTGCACAACGAGCTCGGGTATCGTCATGCCGACGCTCCACACGTCCAGGCTGGGCTGGACCACAATGTGGGGGTCGTCGGACTCCTCGACGAGGAAGCTGGCCCACTCTGGAGAGCAATAACAGGGGGAGAAGGACAGCGAGGAGTCCGTGATCGACGCCCTGGTGCCGATCCTTACGCAGCCGTCCACGTCGATCAACTTCAGCACTCCACCGAAGAGCATGAGATTGTCCGGCTTCAGGTCCAGGTGCACGAGGCCCTTGGAATGCAAGCCCGCCGCGACCAGGACGATGGCCCTCGAGACGGCGCGCACCGTCTCCCTGGACATCGCCTTGCGGCACTCCCGCCGCTCCCGGATGTGGTCCTTCAGGCTGCAGTCGGCCATCTCCGTGATTACGTACATGACCCCGTCGGACGCGTCGGGGCCGGGCTCGCCGCTCGCGTCCCTCGAGTAGTCGATCAGCTGCACGAAGAGCATTTGCGACCCCGCCCGCCCGAGCTGCTCGTGCCACATCCTCTCGTCGGCGGGCTTCTCCAGCGGAGTCCTGAGCTGCTGGAGCACCTCGACCTGACGCCTGAACTTTGCCCTGCAGGCATCGCCCTCGCCGAGCTTCCACCTCGCCTTCGTCTTGTAGAATTTGATCGCCACCTGCGCGTTGGTCCTCGTGTTGGTGCCCCGGCGGCAGATGCTGTACGTGCCCTCGCCCAGGATGTCCCCCTCGGCCATGTGCATGACGTAGTCCCTCATGACAGTCCGGCCCGGGGCCGCCGCGGCTGGGCCTGACGGTATCCGCCGCCACACAGCCGCCGAAGCTGCCGACTTGGGCTCATCGTGAAACCGCTGAGCACAGCAGTCCTGGGCCTGGCCCATGGCCACCCTGGGAGGGCAAGGCTGAGCGAGAGTGGCCCGAGACGAGGTGGCCTGAGCCGAAATGGCTGCGGGGGAAGACGCGAGGAGGGAGGAGGAAAAAACAGGAAAAAGGAGGAGGAGTGAAAAGGAGGAGGAAAAGGAGGAGGAGTGAGGGGAAGCCGGAGGACGAGGAATGTCGAAAATATGTACAGGCCGGGTGGGCTGTGGCTGGAGTTGCTCTACGTAACCCGCCGCGGGGGGAGTAAATATGCTCCTCTCCGCCTCATCTTATAGTTGCCTCTCCTGCCGCCTGCCTTGCCTCACCTTGACATTACTGCAGCACTGTTCTGCAGCTGCTTGCTACTCAAGTTAGAAAAGGAGCCCCGAGGAACCCGAGTGAGGTTAGAAGAGGGAAGGGAGCGGCCCTAACCTGGGCCGCTGTCCTGTTGCTCTTGCCCGTCAAGATGGCGACGAAGCCCTCCGTCCACCACCATGAAGCAACTCATGATATCAACACAAACCCACCCCATTCATCATCATCAGCAGCAGCAGCTTCATCATCTTCATCAGAATCATCATCATCATCACCACCACCACCATCATCACATCATCATCATCATCATCATCATCATCATCATCATCATCGTCGTCGTCATCATCATTATCATCACCATCACCATCACATCACCATCACCATCATCACCATCACCATCATCATCATCATCATCATCATCATCATCATCATCATCATCATCATCATCATCATCGTCGTCGTCGTCGTCGTCGTCGTCATCATCATCATCATCATCATCATCATCATCATCATCATCATCATCATCATCAACGTCATCATCATCAGCAGCAGCATCATCACCACCATCACCACCATCATCATCATCATCATCATCGTCTTCATCATCGTCCTCATTCTCATCATCATCATCACCCTCATCCTCATGATCCTAATCAGCATCATTACCATCATCAACAACATCATCATCACCACCACCACCATCATCATCATCATCATCATCATCATCATAATCATCATCAACCAATCAATCAACCATGATTATCGCCATCATCACGATAATCATCACCATCACCATCACTATCACCATCATCATCACCATCAGCATGATCATCATCATCATCATCATCACCATCACCATTACTATCACCATGACCATCACCACAATCATCATCAACACGATCATCACCGTCATCATCTCCATCATCATCACCATCATCATGAGCATCATCATCATCAGCATCATCATCATTAGCATCATCGTCAGCATCATCATCATCATCATCATCATCATCACCATCATCAGCATCAGCGTCATCATCATCAGCAGCATCATACTCGCCACCACCACCACCACCACCATCATCATCATCATCATCATCATCATCAGCATCGTCTTCATCATCATCGTCCTCATCCTTATCATCATCATCACCCTCATCCTCATGATCCTAATCAGCATCATTATCATCATCAACAACATCAGCATCACCACCACCACCATCACCATCATAATCATCATCAACCAATCAATCAACCATGATTATCGCCATCATCACGATCACCATGACCATCACCATCACTATCACCATCATCATCACCATCAGCATCAACATCATCATCATCATCATCATCATCATCATCATCACCATTACTATCACCATGACCTTCACCACCATCACCATCAGCATCACGATCATCACCGTCATCACCTCCATCATCATCATCAGCATCATCATCAGCATCATCATTAGCATCATCGTCAGCATCATCATCAGCATCATCACCAGCATCACCATCGCAATCATCATCATTATCGCCATCATAATCCACACAATCATAATAATAATCATCATCAGCATGATGATGATCATCATAATCATCATCATCGATGTTCAGCATCACCATCACAATCATCATCACCACCATCATCATCAGCATCAGCATCGTCAACATCATCAGCATCATCATCATCATGCTCATCATCAGCATGTTCGTCCTTATCATCACCATCAGCATCAACATCATCATCATCATCATCATCATCATCATCATCATCATCATCGTCATCGCCATCGTCATCGTCATCATCATCATCATCATCACCAGCATCATCATCATCATCATCATCATTATCAGAATCATAATCATCATCATCAGCGGCATCAGCCTCAGCATCATCATCATCATCATCGTCGCCGTCAACCTCATAATCGTAAACATCAACATGTCACCATCACCACGACCACCATCATTGTCATCATCATCATCATCATCCACATCCCCATCCCTATCATCATCATCATCAGCATCATCATTGTCATCATCAACACAATCATGATCATCAACATCATCATCATCATCATCATCATCAGCAGCATCATCATCATCATAAAAATCATCATCATCATCCGCATCATCATCCTCATCCTCATCTCATCCGCATCGTCGTCGTCGACATCGTCATCGTCATCGTCATCAGAATCGTAATGATAATCATCATCACCACCATTATACTACACTCATCATCGTCAACACCATCACCACCATCATCATCACCGTCATCGCTACCGTCGTAAGCATTGGGACTGTCATCATCACCATCATCGTCATGCTTCCCCGCCGCTTCCTTCTCATCACTATCATCACCACCCCCATCAACAACATCCAGATCACCATCATACTTAGCATCTGGATCCCAATGATCATCAGCAGAATCAGCCGACCCCCGCTTGCCAGGGATGAAAGGGCGTGTGAGACAGTTGGCTGTCTCCTTCCCCGTTCCCCCCCCCCCCCCAGGGTCCAAAATCCGATCAGAGGGGGGGGGGGGGGGGCACACACCCGTGGGGGCACGAGCTCGTCAACGCGCCCCCAGGGCCACCAGAGCCTCCAAAAAGCCCCAAGACAGCTCAAGAGGGCCCAAACAGAGCGCCAAGACAATCCAAGAGAGCGTCGAGAGGGCCTAGGGTAGCCCCTCGACGGTCCAAGCATGCTTCGAGACGGCCCACGAGGCCCCCAAGACGGCCCAAGAGTGCTTCCAGAGGACCGCCGAGACGGCCCAAGACGCCAAAATCGTCCGACTCCGTAGGGGAAACGTACATGGTTGGCACACTCGCCTGTTTCGTCTTGGCAGCGTCCAAGACGGCTAAAGGGGCCCCCAAGATCGTCCCACGACGGGCCATGAGGCCCCTAAGAGAGCCCCAAGACAGGGTTCCGAGACGGCGACCCCAAGACGGCCTAGAGAGGCCCACGAGGGCCGCAAGAGCGGCCCAAGAGATCGAATACGAAGTAACATGGCCCCAAGGGACCCGCCAAAGAAGCCCCCAAGAGCCTCCCACGAAGCCCCCAAGATGTTAGAAAGAGCCCTGCAAGATTCGAAGCATCCCAAGAGCCCCTCAAATATTCTCAGGTGTATCCAAGAGGCTCCTGACCCAACAAATACCTTCCACGACCGCCGCAAGCTCTCGCTCCTTGTGGGGGTCGGCTGAATGGCATAAGCCACTTGAATCATCATCATCAGCCTAACCACCACCACCACCACCATCATCATCATCATCATCACCACCATCATTACCAACGCCAACACCAACAACGACAACCACAGCAACCACAACCACAACCACAACCATATCAGCAACAACAACACCATCAACACCATCTCATCACCACCACCACCATCATCATCATCAGCAACAGCATCACCGCCAGCATCAGCATCAGCATCGGCATCAGCATCATCATCAGTTTCATGATGATCATCATCATCAGCAGCATCATCAGCAGCAGCATCATCGTCATCATCACCATCCGCATCCTCATCCTCATCCTCATCCTCCTCCTACTCATCATCATCAGCAGCAGCTGCATCAGCATCAATAGTATCATCATGATCCATCCGTCTTCCTTCTAAATAACACCTCGCTGTCGCACCCCAGACGAGTCGGTAGGATAGACCAGTCGTTTCGCCTGAGACGTCCTCACTATTTGATCCTGAAGCCTGACACGTCTGCAGCAGCGTCAAGAATGGAGAAAGGGCGCTTTGCAAAATGTGCCTATCGCCTTAGAGCCACGCACATTCGTCTTAACGTGTGCAACAACTTCAGAAATTGAGGACGGGTCCTTGTCAAAATGTGGCTCTCGGCTTAGCGCCGCGCACATTCGTCTTAAAAAAGGGCAGCAGGTTCAACAATGGAGAGCGGTCCATTTCCAAAATGTTGCTCTCGTCCCAGCGCCGTGCGCATTCATCTTATCAATTCGCAACTGTTTCAAGGAGTCGTAGGGTTGAAGTCCCAGGAACGGTATGATGGCACGATTCCGGATTGTCAGGACGCAACAGTCACGTTGCCTCGCGGCGTTGAAGTCCCAGGAATGTTGTTTTGCCACGGTTGAAGATTCTTAGACGGTTGTCTTTCAATTGGGCACTTCTTGCACTGAAAACAAACTCGTAGCGGCCGATGAAAAAAGAACTGGTCATTATCTCCCTCCTCATACACCTCCCCCTCCCGCCTCTACCCCACCATGCCTCCCCACCTCCTTCTCCTCGCTGTACCCCATCCTGAGCAATAATCCTCCTCTCAAATTTCTATCCCCCATTTCTCCGACCCCTCATAATGACCTGTCTCACCCTCATCCTCCTCGAATGTCCCCAGCCTCCTCTACTCCTCATTATCTCCCTCAAGGTTATCACTATGTCCTTCTCCTCCGTCTCGATGTCCGCATTCCATGTGTGGACGCGATTGAATGACCGAAAAGGCACGATCGTCGAAACGAAATATCAGGCTGCACCAAGCACTACCAAATGCAGTCGCGAAACAATGCTACTCGTCCTGGTAAGACCGTCAGCGGAAACATTGCAGGTCCGAATCACAAGTTACCGGAGGGATCATGCGCTGCACCTCC